ATCAGCATCTTTGTCATTTCATTATACATTGTAATATTGTGCTTATTTCTTTAATATCCAACCTTTGCATTCCCCAGGCCTTTGTATCTTCTTGAATGACTTCTAGGAAGTATTCCTATAACTACTGAATAAACTAATTCACAGCACAATATTTCACAAATCTCTCTCGCTCTGTTCTATTCCCAACTGGACTCCATACTTCAACAATGGTAAATTCATTCTGTTTTTCAAAAAATCCAACTAAAATTTTATCTAAGCTTATCCCCTAACTTCTTGGAATTAAAGTCATTATTATCTGAGTATTAGAAAGTCTGACTTCATTCTTATCTGCTAAAGAAATGTTTAAAATGCATTAGGAAGAACTGGGAGACCTTCTTTAAGAAAGTCAAATACTGATGGTGAAGAAAAAAGTTCTAAAGTTAGATATAAGAAAATGAAACATGACAGATGTGTAGAAATACACTTGATTTTTGTAAATTGATCTTGTATCTTGCAACTTCAATAAACTTATAAGTTTAAGAAAACAAAGTAGAGTATTCAACTTTAGGATGTTGAACATAAAAGATATTACTCAAAAATATAATATTATTCTTGTAATTCTATCATGAGGAATACAACTTGCCAAAATATAGCCTTGAATTGTGCAACAAGTCTCTTATTTCTTCTTATAAAATATACTGGCAAAGACCAACAAACCCACACTGCTACAATGAAACCCATCCCCACATTCCATGGCTTCAGGGCAATTCCCATAAATGCAGGGTCATAAAAAGACAGCCTGCTAACTCCTCTAAGCCAGCACTCCATTTTAAGGATAAGAAACTGAAGACAATGACATGTGATCATACAGTTATTGGAATCTGAGGCTCTTTTTAAAAAGTTAGCAGGAATTGCCAATCTAATTTTGGATATCCACCTACAAAAGAGCATACAAAATTCATACAATACAGATGGATAAACAAACTTGACTGAAGTGTTCAAATTTAATAGTTTTTAGTCTTCATGAAACAAGTCATATTCAACATGTTCACAAACTGGTACTACAAAAACCTCAAAAAAAACCAGACTGTTTAAGTTACCACCAGTGGCTTATTTATCTCAAAACACAACTTGATATTCCAATGTTAAAAAGAATGTAAATGGCCCTCCCGAGTTCAACATAATATTATCTAAACAAAGAAAAAATTATATACTTTTGAACTCTAAAAATAAAGATGCAGATTCCTAACTAAGCACAAACTTCTGGCTTTTTACTTTTTCCTTTTTTAATCTCAGTAGACTATAAATTAAAAAGTATATAACTATGGGGGATTTAAAGTTATAAGTTGCTAAATAATTTTCCTTTTAATTTTGTGTTATTATAAAAGGTAACAATTGAGAGAATACTGTGTGCCAAACCCTGCTAAGAATTTCATATGCATCATTAAAATAAAGGAATCATTAAATTACATGTTTTAAGGCATGCTTTCAATTTTAACTGCTTCTTGATACCATCAATTAAAGAACCTGATGACCACTGAAAAATATCCCAATAATCTTACATAATAAAGCTGAATAAGTATAATCGGACCACTAATTACAATGAGAGTAAGTAAAAATTTTATAACATTAATAATGTTACCACAATATAAATTAGTTACTAGGCACAAATCTTCATCAGGCAATGTTACTAGCATGTTTAAACTAAACCACACAAGGGGTTAAAAATAACTATAATGAAAGGCCAACAGCCCAGCAGCAGGGTTGAGCCAACATTCCCTTCTCTCCTCCCCCTCCCCTTCTGATCCTCTCCAATCCAGAATGAATTGCATGCCCCACTGCACAAGGCCCAAAAAGGTCACAGTGGATGGCAAAGACTTTTGTAAGAGAACAGAAATAACTCAGCAGCTTTGTTACCATAGTCTCTTTTAATCAGTATGTTCAAAATCCTTTAATTAGCACTCTGTCTACACAAGGAAGGCATTTCTCTGTGCCAGGGGAGGGCACCTATGTGTATGTACACAGTGTTCCGTTGTATCAGCAACACAACATGGAGCTAGTACCTCAAACTGTCTGCCAGAGAACTGAAGCACATAAAACTTTTTAAAGGCATGGTACCACATAATTTACATATACCATTTATATACCAATTACCAAACAATAAAGTAATTATGAACCTTGTTTCATTCAGATGTCAATTTGTTTTGGGACTATTTTTTTTTTAGCAAAAACTGAAGTATTTTAAACTGAGCAATAGCTTTAATCAATCAAAATATGATACTAATAATATAAAATAATATTAACAAAACAAAACCAGACAATATTCTGTCCTCATAATAGATCTTCGATAGAAGAAAAACACTGCCTCACTCAGGAATTAGTCACAACACACATTTTCATAGGGATACTTTACATTGAAAATTTCACCCAACCACAAATCTTAAAATTGCAGGCTGGCGCTAGGAACTTAGCTCAGTGGTAGAAAGCACCTGCTCAATGCGTGAAGCCCTGAGTTCCACCCCTAGCACCGCAATTTAAAAAAAAAGAAAAAAAAAACTGCAGGCTGGATTTATATTTTCTTATAAAATCTGATTAGATTCAAGGGGAAATTGGTAATACATTAAAAATAGCTACTTGAACATCCACAGCCAAGAAATGATGAAAATTTGATCAGTAAAAGGGAATTTGTAATATTTTAACAGGGATATATAGGTGTAACAAACAAATATATATGTGTGTGTGTGTGTGTACATATGTGTGTGTATATAGTTTTTGTTATTTTTAAATTGTAGCTGGACACACTACTTTTATTTATTTATTTTTATGTTGTGCTGAGAATCGAACCCAGAGCCTTGCACGTGCTAGATAAGCATTCTACCCATGAGCCACAACCCCAACCCCAACTTATTTTTAATCTTTCAAAATCAARTTGCATTTAAATATATCCATATATGTATGGATGTATACTGTAAGATGCAGAGTATATATACATATTTATACATATATACACATACATATAATTAAATAAAATTATAACCTTCTAAATATCTGGTTAGAGAAACAACCTAACTAAATTTAATATAAAGTGAATTAGTAGCAGAGCACTTGCCTGGCACGTTTGAGGCACTACGTTCGATCCTCAGCACATATAAATAAATAATAAATAAATAAATAAAGGTGCAGCAATAACTAAAAAATATTAAAAAAAAAAGATAAAGTGAATTATTGGGGAGGGAGCAGAGAATAACTACATGAAAGCCAACTTTTCCACACCAGCCAGGCGCTCACAGCATTGCCGTATGGTGGGAAATAGTATCAGTATTTCACAGACTGGTATAAAATTAAATAAGATAATACATTTATAGCACTTTGCAAGAACTTCAAAGTTTTCTGGGAGTATTAGAACTGGAATAAAAGGAAAACAGAACAGGTATTTTCATGCATGGTATAGGGGTGCAAATTGACACAACTTATCAAAATGACCTATATATACACCCACACACACATACATATTACATGGTATTCACTACAGTACTGCATACAGTAATAGTAATATTGGAAATATAAATGCCCTTCATTCAGGCATTATGATTAAGTAAATGTTATTTCCAAAATAAAGAGCCTCCTTATATATTAATAAGGATAGTTCTCCATGGTAAATTGTTAAGAAAAGAGCAACATATGGAACTGTACATAGCTATCATTTGAGTAAACGAAAAGTAGAAATTCACATGTATCAGAAGAAAGGATTTTGAAAGTTTCATCAAGAAAAGATAAATGTTTGAGGAGATAAATATTTTTCAACTGATTTAAACATTACACAATGTACACATTATCAAAGTATTACAGAGTACCCCATTAACATGTACATTTTTAAATTGATAAGTACATGTAAGAAGACACGAAGAATGTGACTCTACTTTGCGTGCAACCAGAGACATGAAAAATTGTGCTCTATATGTGTAATATGAATTGTAATGCATTCTGTTGTCATATATAATAAATCAAAATTTTAAAAATTTTAAAAATGAAATTAATTTTTATCTAGGAACACAAAAAATACCCTGTTAAGAAAGTTTTACAAGTTATTAATAACAATAATTACCTACTGATGATAAGTGAAACAGTGCTTTACACAGTCAAGCCTCAATAAATGGAAGCTGTAATTATTCCCTTCATCAGTATCAAAATTATCATGAAAACGTATTCTTAAAATATAGGGCTGGGGTTGTGGCTCAGTGGCAGAGTGCTTGCCTCATACATGTGAGGCACTGGGTTCAATCCTCAGCACCACATAAAAATAAATAAACAAAGATATTGTGTCCCTGTATAACTAAAAAAAAAAATTAAATATATATATATATGCATATGTATGTGTGTGTGTGTGTGTGTGTGTGTGTGTATACCCACACATACATACACAGTATACATTCAAGGAAATCTATAATGAGGTCAAAAATCTCAATTATTCATAGGATGACTACTTGGAGATCCAATCCTTTCATTTTCTTTTCAAAGGTAAGTAGTTTCGGTACATTTTATTGTTGATTATCACTTCCACCAGAAAGTGAGCTAAGGAAATAATACCAAAAATAGTCATTTTAATCAATCTTGATCAATTGTTTTTAATAAAACATTTTTTGGAGATGGAAAGGATTACTAAAATGCCATAGGGTAACTTTATAAAGTAACATAGAAGGAAATTAAGGCCCAGAGAATTCCCCAAATTGATGTGGTTCAAAAACTTAAAAGAATCTACTCTCTAGCAAAAGCTTTTCCATTTTATTTTTGCTAATGTGGAGAAAGCTGAAAATAAGCTAAATCCAAATCAATTATCCTTGCTAAGTCCCTTTCCCACCAGCAGTCTTTATTAGATAACTAAATCTGCTGAGAACAAACCCCACAAACAATTATAATAAGTATAGTAGAGATCAATGGAGATATTCAACAACTCAGCCCTGGGGTTTCCAGGACTAAGCACTGAATGAACAACTGTAATAAAATCTGTAAAGTTTGCTTACACTAGAGATTGTCAGAGGCATCTTGAAATCCTTGCCACCTTGCAGCCGGAAACCCCAAGGAGCTGGGCCAACCAAGGACACACTGTAATTGCTCATGGTTCTAATGGCTCAAAGTCCAAGGCCAGAAAATGCAAGAAACTGTGAAAGAAAATTAGATGGTTAACAAAACTGTTAATTCAAATTCTTATTACATACCTAAATGTATTTAATAAAAAGCTAGCTAAATTATGTTCAGTATTTTGGGGAGGAGGTGAAGAAATATAGAGGATAAGTCTATTAAGTTCTTCACTAATTTCAGTCCTTTAAAAAGTAAAATTGCCAGGCACCATGGTGCCTGACTGTAATTCCAGTGGTCCGGGAGGCCAGAGCAGAGAGATCACCAGTTCAAAGCCAGCCTCAACAACTTAGCGAGGCCCTAAGCAACTCATAGAGACACTAAATCTAAATTAAATATATAAAAAGGGCTAGGGATGTGGCTCAGAGGTTAAGTGCCCCTGGGTTCAATCCACCAATACCAAAAAAAAAAAAAAAAGAAAGAAAGAAAAATTAGTATTAGTTAATTGACATACATTTAAACTCACGACAATTTCTATAGTCTAAAAATTCCATACCTGAATATTTATATAGATACTTGATCAGTTTTATAACTTGCTACAATCCAGTTTTCTGACTTCTTACAAACAAACTTTAATTCAATGTATTGTACAACAATTTATTAATGTATATAAGAACAAGGTATGTGTGTCTGTCTCTCTCTCTCTCTCTCTCTCTCTCTCTCTCCCTCTCTCCCCCCCTTTCTTTCTCTCTCTCTCTGCAGGCACATCAGCAGATCCAACCCAGGGCCTCAGGCATGTTAGGCAAGCACTCTACCACTAGGCTACACCTCCAGCCCAGAACAAGATTTTATTTCAGAATTAATTCAAAATGATTTTCCCCTTCCCTCTACCTCATGCATTTTTTTTTTTTTTTTTGCCTGTGGTTGACAAGAGCCTTCAATTTCACTGACCTAAAAATCTAAGTTATCCTAACATATGAAAGGACTTCAAACAAGGAGACTGCAAATCATGTCTTCTAAATACTCAATTACTTAAAATGACAAGTTGTCTTTTCATAGCACCAAACTATTCTCTCCAATTATGAACTACAACTTATATTCCCTCTTATAGAGGCATGGTACTTTCCATACTTAAAGTAATATTTACTTTTCCTTCAGATAGACAATGATAATAGCTGATATTTTAGTCAGAACCTTCTTCTTGTTTTATACACATACCTCATCAGGCAAAGTGGAAAGTAAGCATTTACCACCCAGTAAATAAGACTCTGATTAAACATAGAAGTACAAGGTTAACTCTAATATATGATATTGAATCTGAGCGTTAGGAAAGAACTAGTGTCTTCTTTGTTTTGTTTTGCTTTAAGTATGCTCATAATGACTCTACTTTAAATAATTTAAATAATTTGTTTTAAAAATTATTTGTTTTAAAAAGTCTAACGTGGAGTTTCCTATTGGTTGTTACAGTGGTGGGAGATACTAGGAGAAATGAAGATTATTTTTAATGTAATACAAAGAAAAACATTAAAAGTCTCTCTTTTAAAAATATAACAGAGGTCTAATTTTTAAAAAATACTTTTTAAGCTAAGACACACACTTCCTTAGAAAATCTGAGCTGTTAAGTCAAATCATCACCTTCTATTATCTGTCTTAAAATATATCTTCCATTTTTTAATCCTTTCAAAATTTCTATCCTGTCACACCAAATTCATATTAGCAAATGTAGATATTTAAACCAGTGGGTATATATAAACAGATTTCTTCTCAAAAAAGGAAAATGAGGCAATACTTTAAAATAAGCCTGGTTCTTAAAAAAAACATTCAGGGATAATGTGTACTGCATCTACCTAGAAAATACCCGAGCATTTCCACAGGCATGGTAGTGGATTAACCACCAGGCAATAACATGTTATTTCAAGACTGAAGTATATATGCAGACCACTAACAAAGAATCAAAAGGCCACAGCAAAGGTCAAATTTCTACACATAGGTGAAAAGCGAATAGCTAGGAGTTAATTAGAAACTACACATAATTTAATTCCTTTCCCATTATAAAGAGATTTTCCTAAAATGAGTAGATGAAAAGTCTTGATGTTGGCATACAATACAAATCAGATTTACGTAAATCCAACTGTTATTTTACATGCCCTCTGTCCTTCTTTTTTAACCTTTAACTTGTGACAGAGGGAAAAAGATGAAAATTAGGCTAAACTTCCTATGGTCCCAGTCTTCTCTACAAGAAAAATGTATTTCATGTACATATCAACCCATGTATATAATTAACTTCTCTTTACTTGGGGATTTTCTTCCTCACTTCTCCCATTTGTTATGAAAATTTCTAGCATTGGCAAGGTCACAGCCACAAAAGAAAACCAGTGTTATTTCTTTTCTAGATTCTCCTACTAGCTTCACTTGGAATTCATTTGCTTAAAATATTCTGATCCCTAAGCATTGGCAATATTTTTATTGGCCTTTTCCAGGTCTCCTCCATGGAGTTATTAGTGCCCAAACCCTTCGTAGAATGCCAAGCAGACAGGAAATAGCAGCCTATTCTGCCTATTCTGCTTTCAAGCACGTAGAAAATGTTGGAATTTCTGTATAGTTCTGGATTTTCTTTTAGGGAAAGTCTAAAACAGTCTTTTCTTGGTACTAAGAAGGGAAGCTTGGCATTTCCCACACTTTGTGTCCCAACTTCTTTGGTGGGTGGGAGAGAGGAGAGAGATCATGATGGACTTCTGAGTGACAAGAGGGGCCTGAAATGAAAGAGAAACATCTTGAGTTCCCCCCCACACACACACTATTGATAATAGAGGTAATGCTGAAGAACTAACGCTACAGGAACAGGATGAAAGCGGTCGACAAGACAGTTTTCCAGCTGAGGTTCACGCCTAGCCCTGTTTGCCAAATAAGGCTCCCAAGCAGGCTGTTTCCGTGGCAGGCGGGTTCAGACGTCCTCACGGTCAGGAAGGCGGACTTGGGATAGGATCCGGAGATCACACCCTAAACCTGCCCAGCCCTGCGCAGCCACGAATTTTCTTTCCAAGTTCTTACCGGTTCTATACGCCCTTCCTTTTTCCACTTATTGTCAAACGTACCGAAGGCACAGTCTTACAAAAGTCCCCATCAAATATGCCAAGTATTAATAAATGTGGTGTTCGTGACAGATTTGTTTCCAAGCTAGTTTTATTTCTGGACGCACGGAAGTTTTCCCCAAACAGGTTACGCTATTGTGAATCCTTAAGGGAGAAATAAATGCTTCTAAGTAGCCTGAGAGCAAACAAAAATTAAAGACCGTTTGGTCCCGCTGCCTCCCAACACCCCTGAGAGGTCTGCGCTGGACGAGAGTGCACCCGATGTCGAGGCGGTGCCCAGCAACGCAGGGAGCCGGCCAGTCGGGTCGGTGCGGCGGCGTCCTGGAGCCCCTGGGCGCCCGCTCCCGCGCCCCGGTCTCCGGTGCTCTGGTCCCGGCCAGCCAGAGCTGCGAAGACTTCCAGGGCTCGCCCTCCAGCTTCACGCCCAGTCTCCCGCTGCCCTTTCACCCGCACTCCTTCCTCCCCGACGCTCGCCCACCTCCGCCGCTCCGAGCCCAGAAAGCACCTGAGGAGCCACCCGCTTGCGAAGCGCGCCCCTTCCTCCTCTCAAATAGGCTTCCCTCCTCGCGTGTGGCGCGGGCAGCAGCTTTTCCCTTGCTCCCTGTGAGGAATCGGATACGCTCTCGCACCACCACCGCCACTCACCTCCGGACCGGCACCGCGATGCCTCCGCCTCAGTAGAGCGCTGACAAGTGACTCCCGGTGCGCGCGTCCTCCCCAAGGCCTGCGGGGAACTTCCGCCCTCTCCCTCCCCGGCCCCGCCTCTGGGCCGGCCCCGCCCCTCCGCGCCCGACCACGCCCCCGAGCCGCGCTGAGTCTTGGTGCGCCCAGAGAAGGTGGTAGCAGAGCCAGGATCCGGGGCTTGCTGGGGACCGCTGAAGCTGCAACAGAAAAATAGTTACTTTATGGAATTTCGGTGGGAGTAGTCTTAGGAGATTCCACGCAGTACCTGGCGGAGGTTTAGCCTTCTCGTGTCCGTTTTGTAGTTGGGTACATTTCTATCTCCGGAAACAAATTGGCCAGCAGTTACTCTRGCTAAAAATAGAAAGGGGTTTTGGATAAATCCCTGTCTATGCAAGTTCAGCGACTATTGCCTGGTTTTTTGACCTTTATACATACTCTGAGAAGTGCAAACAATGAAATTTACCTATCAGGAATTGAAAATAGCCTAAATACGTAGAAGTTAAATCCATCATCACACCGCAGTGATAGAAAGCAGTGGCCAAAGAGTGATGCAACTTATTGTTCCAAGTCCAAATCAATAGCCCACTTTCCTGCTTCCATAAAATTGCTTGCTTTAGCCTCAGGAATTTATTCATAAGCAAACGTGAATATTATTCAGTGAACATACAAAAATAAACCTGTAGAATCTTTTACATGGTAAATTTGTTTTTAAAGTGTGAAAGGGCCATTCTTAGTCAAAGGGGCATATAAAACAAAAATAAACCTCATGAAGTTCGTGAACCCCTGGAAGTATAAACAAAATTTTAGAGAAGGTTCAAATCTACTGTGTCCAAAACAGTAGCTACTAGTCCACATATGGCTATTGAACAGTTGAAATGTGATGTACTGGGACTGAGGCACTGAAATTTTTTGTTGTATGTAATTTTAATTAATTCAAAATTCAAAACAGGCAGAATAACATTTTTATTAAACACTATTTTGGGTAGGACTACATTCATTTTACTTTCGGAAATTTGGACCTGTGTTAGTCAATTTTGTTGCTATGATAAATAACTGAGAAAAAAACAAATCTGTGGAGGATTTATTTTGGCTCATAGTTTCAGAAGTTTCCATTCATAGTAGGCTGGCTCTATGCTTTGGACCTGAGGTGTGAGGCAAAACATCATGGCAGAAGGAAGTGAGAGAGGAAAACTGCTCAGCTCCTGGCTACTGGGAAAGAGGGGGGGTTAGGGAAATGGGACAACACAACACAATAGTCCAGAAAAGCATGCTCCAGTCACCTACTTCTTCCAATCAGGCTCTAACTGCCTAACATTTCCACCGCCTCCCAATAGTCCATCAGCTATCAATAGTCTGACACATTGATGAGGTCAGAGCCCTCACCATCCAATAACTTCCCCAAATCCCCTTCTTTGAACATTGCTGCACTGGGAACCAAGCTTTCAACACATGATACTTTGGGGGATATTACAGATCCAAACCATAACAGCGCCCAACCTGGGATATGTTGGAAGTTTAAGATGCATTCTGGGTTTCAAAGACAGTATGAAAAAAATACTAATAATTTTATATTGATTACATGCTGAAATTATATTTTATATTTAATTAAGTAAATTATGTTATTAAAATCAACTTTTCCTTTTTAAAATGTGGATTCTGGAAATTTTAATATTATATACATGCTTCACATCACATTTTCATTGGCAAATGCCATAATTTCAATATATACTTAATATTGTTCAAAGAATGAAATAAGATGATGTACATAAAATACCTAGAACATGCATAATGAATGTACATCATCTTATTTCATTCTTTGAACAATATCAAGTATATATTTTTTTCTCACAAGGAAACAAATTTGGAGATTAAGAAATTTACCAATTTAGACACAGCCACATCAATGTTTGTAACAGCTCAATTAACAATAGCTAAGCTATGGAACCAACCTAGGAGTCCTTCMGCAGATGAATGAATGAAGAAAGTGTGGTGTATACACACAATGGAATATTACTCAGCCATAAAGAGAAATGAAATGATGGCATTTGCCAGTAAATGGATGGATGGATGGATCTGGAGATTATCATGCTAAGTGAAATAAGTCAATCCCAAAAAACCAAAGGCCAAATATTCTCTCTGATATGCAGATGCTAGCACACAATAAGATGAGGGGGTGGAGAATAGAGTTCAGTGGATTAGACAAAGGGGAATAAAGAGAAGGGAGGGGGGAGGGAATAGGAAGGTCAGAATGAATTGGATATAATTTCCTGTGTTCATATATGAATACACCACTAGTGTAACTCCATATCATACAATCACAAGAATGGGTCCTAATTAGAATAAGTTATACTCCATCTATGTATAATATGTCAAAATACATTATGCTGTCCTGCATATCTAAAAAGAACAAATAAAMACTAAATAAGAGAATTTACCAATTTAAAATTAATCATAACTAGTGATAGAAGTAGAGCGAAGGGTCACAGTCCATCAACCATGTTCTTTTTGTGCACACTTGCCTCTTGGTAAATTCAGTAAGCATCCAGCTTAAAGATTAGAGAAAGAATATGAATGAATGTCTAAATAAAACATGACAATCTTCCAAATAAATATAATGCTTTCTTGTCTCCCCTAAGCTCCTGGTTGTATAATTCACTTTTCATGACCTTCACAAGACATTAGGCCAGGGATATAGCTCAGTAGGTAGAGTGCTCACCTTGCATGCACAGGCCCTGGGTTCAATCCCCAGCACCACAAAAAAAAAAAAAAAAAAAAAAAAAAGACTATAGGAAGACCATGAGTTCGGGGTCAGGGGAACTAAGTAAAGCTTTTACATTTCTATTAAAAACAATCCCTGATTTATGGGAGTTAAACTCTATTGCAGCACCAAAGTGATTTGCATTCAGTAGAAAACATAATTCATATTTTGAATTTTGACCTTTTCCCAAACTGGTGACATCAAGCAGCAGAGATAGCTCCTAGTGAGCATGCAATCACAAGGGTTAACTACCAATACTCTACAGTATGCTACGTTGGAATGCTGTTCTATCAGGTAGATTAAGTGTATTAAATGTATTTTTCCTCTGTGATATCTTGAACTTACAAAATGTTTACTGAGTCATAACTGCCTGGTCGATTCAGGAACTAAGGCAAATCCGAAGAAAGGAGAACTGTTGAGGATCATAAGGGTACAATTTGCAGCAAATGATGAAAATAAAATAAATACTGAATTGTTTGTGCAAGAGAGAGGATGAAATTCTTTAACCCTTTACAGTAGAACATGTGTCTTAACTTGTTTTATAGTGAATTGCCACCGAGGCATTCTGACTCCCTTTCTCTGTCCCCCTCATTTATGAAATGTTTGGACAAGGTCTGAAGGACAGCCTGTGACTTCAAATCAACAAGAAAATAGCTGAGCCATTGGGAAATCAAACCTCGGTCCTTGGCCTTTTTAACATTTTGGGGCTAAGCAATGATGCATTGGCCACAAAAGAAACCATATTAAATTCATCAAAACCAATGCATGAAAAGCACGAAAGTAGAAAAAAACAAAGAGTCCTGGGTGTATTATATGCCTATAATCACAGCAGCTCCGGAGGCTGAAGCAGGAGAATCATGAGTTCAAAACCAGCCTCAGCAATTTAGCAAGGCAACTTAGCAACTCAGTGAGACCCTGTCTCTAAATAAAACACAAAATAGGGCTGGGAATGTGGCTCTGAGTTCAATACCTGCCCCCCCCAAAAAAGTAAAAAAGAGATCAAAGATAAACTGATTTGACAGGAAGAGTTTTTAGAATATTCCACTTAAACATTCCACCTAAATATATAAGTACATGTACTTATATACTTAGGTATATAAATGTTTGCTTTACCATTTTATTATCCAATATATGGAATCGGAACCTCTTGTAGTACTTCAAAAATAACAGAAACTTTTAATTATAAGATGGCCTGGCAATGATGACATTTTACAGTTTTATCTAATATAAGTATAAATTGTCAGTCCTTAAAATTTTTTTTACATTAAGTGAATTTATCTTACAGTCCTAATCCTCAAAAGAAATAAACCACTCATAAGTATGAATATTTAATATTTAAAATATAGAATGGAAAGGAAGCATTAACTATTCTAATACTTAAAGAGACATTTAGCAATCTAGAGAGAAATAGAAGGCACAGTGTCATTCTAAAGCTTACTAAGGAATCCTGGGAGAAAGGTAGAATTAAAGCAGGCACAAAAACAGAATGGAAAGGCAGGAAAGGATAGGAACGAGGTAAGAACAGACCCAGGAAGTCTGTATACTAATAGTGAATGTGTGATTAAGGAAGAAGGCAAAGTTTAAATTGCTTTAAGGATTCAAGTCTCAACTTTGGGAGTGGTTTCATAACTGCTATTGAAGAAAGATGTGCAAGTGTTTTCTTCCATATTGYTTATGGGTGCATTATAATTGTACATGTGGTGAGATTCATTATTGCATATTCATACATGCATGCAATATAACAATATCTTTGACCCATATTATCCCCAGTATATCCCATTTCTCTCCCCTGCTCCTTCCCATTGGTCTCATTCTTCTACTCTGCTGAACTTCTCTCAATTTTCATTAGATTCTCACACACCTTTCTTTTTTAGAGGAGCAAATTTTCTGTTTGTTTTTTGTTTTATGGATTGAACTCTGGTAACAAGGTAGTGCTTAACCATTGAACCATATCCCAGCCCCCCCCCCTTTTTTTTGTCTTTTATTTTGAGACAGGATCTCTCTAAATTGTGATTCTCCAACCTCCGCTTCCCCAACAGCTGGGATCACCAGTGCCTGGCTAAGAGGAGCAAGTTTTGAAGGAAACTAAAGAGTTAGGAGAGAGAGAGAGAGAGAGAGAGAGAGAGAGAGAGAGAGAGAGAAAGCCAATTAGTGAATGTGGAGTAAGAAAGGCAGAAAGCAAGGATGCTGAGAAAAATACTGGGTAGCTTCAAGTTTGAGATTTCAGAAGGCAAAGAAGATTCCTAATGATGAGATCAGGGTTTTGCCAGTCTGGTAATTTCCTCTGGACCTTGAGAGCTTGTTTGGAGG